ACTTGACGACTTGTCCAGATGCGTTATCTCACCAAGTCAACTTACCGAAGTCGACTTGGTGACTTGTCCAGATGCATTATCTCTCCAAGTCGACTTCCATAAGTCGACATGACGACTTGTCCAGATGTATTATTTCGTCAAGTCGACTTTCCGAAGTCGAGATGACGACTTGTCCAGATGTATTATCTCGCCAAGTTGACTTCTCGAAGTCGAGATGACGACTTCTCCAGATGAAATATCTCGCTAAGTCGACTTCCTGAAGTCGAGATGACAACTTGTGGAGATAAATTATCTCGCCAAGTCGACTTACGATGAGGAGATGATGACATGCAAAATTCTCGTTCTGCATGGATATCCCGTTGTTGAAGCACTGTCGTGGATTCTTTCTTGTTCGTCGGTGCATTTGAGGTTTTCCCTACCCGTTCTTATATGAACAATAAACTGGCAGAGGAACAAGAGATAAACTGTAGGGTATTGATTTGATCTGGGTCGAAGTTGATTTGTGGTTTCTTTTTATTTTCAACTTGTTTTAAATGACTCCCCCAAGCTTCGTAGGAAATCACACCTCTGCCTTGTTTTCCCCTATTTATCCCGTTGAAAAGTAATTCACTTCACGTTAAACATTAACAATCATAAATTCACAAAAATGTCTTTATGGACAGGTTGCCTAAAAATGACACTTACAAATTCAAGATTTGCTTTAAATCATATTGAGATCATATTTAAGATAAATCGACTCTCACGGCTTAAATTGGAATATCGGAAAATTAGCAAAACTCTTGTCTGATATATTACGAGAAATGATTTGATAAAAGCTCTTATTGCCAACATTAAATCTGGGCTCTGAAGACAAAGACAAATGTGTGTTAATTTCAAGATTTTAAATGGGGAGCACCGGGGGGGGGGCATTTGTTGCAGGACATTATATTCTTTACATTTTGTTCGGAAAAGAAAAATCGAAATTTTGAAAAAGCACGTATATAATTATACCAACAATAACCTTTCAAATTCCCAAAACTATACAATCATGCGTTGCATGTTCGTTAAGCTTAACAGCTTCTCCATAGATGATAATACCCAAACGCTTTGCATCAAAGCAACAATACCTTTTCAATGAAAACAACTCTAATGACATCATTAATCATCCGTCTTTGTGCTGCTTCATGTGCGGAAAGGAAATTGACGAGCAGACGTTTTGCATTTTTTATGAACATCAACAAAAGAGACACAACCATTAGTTACCTCTGCACGCCGCATTTGGATCAAATTTTCAGTCTCGGTGTCGTCGGGTATTGGTTTTTAGGAATGCTATTTAATAATTAAGAAATATCAAGTCTGTTTGCGAAAATAATTTACACGTTTCAAAATGTACCACAAACGTATTCACACTCAACTTTCCTTTAGTTCTAATTTTACATGTCTTTGTGTGTGTTTACTCGACTAAACCACAGATGTCCCCGGTTCGATGCCCCATGAGTTTGTAAGCTGGATAAACACAATCTACAAAGAAAGAAATTTCGTCGAATTTTTTGGTTTGTTGTTTTATATTTTGATAACATCATAATGATGTAAAGAATAGTTGATGACTTATTTTGAGGTAAAATTAAATGTTCTTGTGGCAATAAAAAAGACAAGTCAAGCCTAGCCAAGCTTTTCCCAAATCATAAAAAAATTATATTCAACTGGTTCCGAATGGCTATTCAATTGAGGCCTTTGCATGCATCTGTGTACACAATAGCCCATTCGTGTGACGTTACGGGGTAATCCTGTACAATAGTACTGCCCAGCGCCCCTACTCCGACACCCCGAGAAATTATACTGGTATTATATGCCTTTCCCCAAAATACGGACAGAACCTGCTGGGTTAGGGGGTATTTGTACATCCCGTAACATATTGTTAATAATCGTCGGATTTGAACAGCGACCGCTTTGAAAGTATGGTACGAGCCACCCCCCCCCCCCCCCTATTGATTTTAAGGAGCCAAGTGTCCGGACAAAAAAAACCCTGTCTACATTTCAGCATTGATTTGCTGATGAACCCCCCCCTCCACAAAAATTCCTGGTTCCGCCCCCGATTGTTGTTGTGCATATTCGGCAATTATTATCGTCTACAAGGTGATTCAAAATGCAATCAAATTTGATACACAAATTTGATACAATGAAGTATGTCTAATAAGAGCATGTTAATCCACTCATCTGAAAAAAGCAGTTACTGATATTGATCTATGCCAACAGAAGTTATGCATGTTTTACTTAAAGAAACCATTTTTTATAGCTGTCCTTGGAGTGCCATTGAGCGTAGTGATAATTACACACAAGCATTCATTAAAATGAGATATTAATAATTGAAATCAAGACCATTGTTTTTACTGTCATTTGTAATGGTATGCATATGAGGAACAAGTCAACTCTTTTTCTTCTGAAATGTTGTTAGCGATATAAAAATCCTTTGCAAGTTCTCGTTCATTCATCGAGGTGGGAAAACGTCCATGTTTCATAATACAATCTTTTTATTCAAATAGACATAACGTGAGATTTGAAGGTTTGCATGGTGGAAAGATACTAAGACAAGAAAAGTTTGCGGTATAGCACCATGTGAATAACATTCTCCTGACGACGGGCAGAGCATACTGTTCGAAACGTTGAGTCCCTCGGTTCTTTTACTCACAAAAGAGATTTATTCACATGGTGCTACCGCAAACTTATCTTGTTTTAGACATAACGCGGGAATAAAGTATGCAAATGACGTGAAATGTTCACAGTTAAAAGTCAATAAGATGTACTTTATCATTTTTTCATAATGAAATTGATCAAGCCGAATATTTTTAAATATTTTCAAATTCAGTCATTTTCTTTTTTTTGACTCCCCTGCAAGGAGAAGCCGGTAGAAAGCCTTGCGAATCGGTATCGGCTGAGCACCGCATGCATGGTTGTATACACGGTAGCCTCATCAGTAACCTGTACTCTGAAACCGACCACTCGCATGGCGGTTTGCATCATGTCCTATTAGCCAATATATTCGGCTTTTCCAAAAAGAGAGACTCAGCCTTAACGATTTAGGTCGATTTGTGATCTAAAATCGCTTGTAATTTCATACTTCATGACATCAGAATAACGTCACAGTAATATTGAGGCCGATGTCTCATTCAAAAGTGAACAACTTCTATATTGCTAGGAACAGAACTTTATTATAATGTGATGATCACAGTGTGATTTTAGTGTGCTAAGGCTAGCTAATGTCCTTTATAAAACATTGACTTAGTGTTGACAATAAGAGTTTTTATAGTGATATCTTTATCAAATCATTTCTCGTAATATATCAGACAAGTTTTGCTAAATTTCCGATATTCCAATTTAAGCCATGAGAGTCGTTTTATCTTAAATATGATCTCAATATGATTAAAAGCAAATCTTGAATTTGTTAGAGTCATTTAAGATACAAGTTTTATGCAACCTGTCAATAAAGAAATTTTTGAGAATTTATGATTGTTAATGTTTAACGTGAAGTGAATTACTTTTCAAAGGGATAAATATTGGAAAACAACGTAGAGGTGGGACTTCCTACGAAGCTTGGGGGAGTAATTTAAAACAAGTTAAAAATAAAAAAAAACACAAATTGACTTCGACCCAGATCAAATCAATACCCTACAGTTTATCTCTTGTTCCTCTGCCAGTTTATTGTTCATATAAGAACGGGTGGGGAAAACCTCAAATGCACCGACGAACAAGAAAGAATCCACGACAGTGCTTCATCATCTCCACATCGTAAGTCGACTTGGCGAGATAATTTGTCTCCACAAGTTGTCATCTCGACTTCAGGAAGTCGACTTAGCGAGATATTTCATCTGGACAAGTCGTCATCTCGACTTCGAGAAGTCAACTTGGCGAGATAATACATCTGGACAAATCGTCATCTCGACTTCGGAAAGTCGACTTGACGAGATAATATATCTGGACAAGTCGTCATGTCGACTTATGGAAGACGACTTGGAGAGATAATGCCTCTGGACAAGTCGTCATGTCGACTTCTGGAAGTCGACTTGGAGAGATAATGCATCTGGACAATTCACCAAGTCGACTTCGGTAAGTCGACTGGGCGATACAATTATGTGATTAAGTCGCCTTACTCTCGGCGATATGTCAACATGACGTGATAAATTATCTGATTAAATAAAGAAGTGGATGGCACTCATGGAGCGCCGTTCTTTCGTACTCCCGTGAGGGGTTTGATTGATTTTCGTTCATTAAAATTATCGTAAAAGTTAAAATGTTTCTTTTTTTGTCTTCAAATGACCCATTATGCGCACAATACAGGCTCGGGTTAAATTAAAACCAATCCGCGGTGCAAGCCATCCGTCTACTGAGGTGGCCTGCCCTGCGGACAATAACATTTATTCCATTTCTTTACCCAGAGAATGCCCAAACACTTTTAAAAACTGGTGTCTATTGGGGCCCTGCATATATTACAAATTATTCAATAATGTTTAGTAAAGATAAACTCATGCATAAGGAAATATGCATTGGTGCTCTGCAAATTCCGAATAGTGAAAATTCACTTCTTTCGAGTGAAGATTCACTCCCACAGTCGGAAACTAGGGATTAGACGTTAATAGAGTGAAATTCCTTCAATCGTAAAGATCGAGTTTTCACTCGAGCTTTGACTGAAGTGGTTCATTTTTCAAACTATTTCAATCGAAAATGAGAGTGATTTCACTCTAAAACGTCTAGTCCCTAATTTCACTCTTTAGAATTTAGAGAGTGAAACATACGACGAACATCAATATTTACGAATACACTACAAGTATTTCTGTATAATATATATAGTACAGAAATAAAGCTACAACAGAAGTTCATTTTAAACATTCAAGTACAAGGCATACAATGTACACCCTTTCACTTAATTGATTGTATTTCTGGATCTAGGGACCCAAATGGAATGGGGTAAAAAGGAGTGGATTGAGAAATAGTCAGGCTTTAATGTAATATATAATTTTACCGTTTTAATTATTAGTTTTCTGAATGTTGCACTTTTTTGGCACACTATGTACATGTATATATGTAAACGACAATCTGTTTTGATTACAGGATGTTTTTAACAGGATATATTTTCTGCCAATTTGCTTGTTTGTGTCTGTGTTTGTTTCCCCAATCTCTAAACGAATATTTGAATTGTTCAAATCTCTGTGATCTTGTTCTTGGTTTGTTCGGTGTTTTTTCCTTGGTATAAACGTTAGAGTTCACTATTCAGAGTTTGAAATCAGGGATGAATGCATCTGAGGCTAGAGCCATGGTCCATGATACATGAAGAACTCCCATTTACCCTCATAGACAAGCGCCTAGATGCAAATGGATTAGGCCTTGCTCGTGTAAAGACATCACACCATTGAATTCCGTGCTGAAACTGTGCGAAAACTTGCTCCCCGCCTTAATGTCGTTATGGTAATGGTACGGCACGTGGCGACCCTTCAGGGTTTTGGGAAACGGCCAGAAACCGTACACGTCTATTCGCTCACAAAGATCAAATATTGACGACAGTACATAAAGACCTGTGTAAAATAATGAAAAACAAAGAAATGGAATTAAGTGCGTGAACAGGTAAACAACTGAGACGAAATTGACGAAACCATTTTGGCCATTATAAATAGATCCGTTCTAGATCAGTTCAGTGAACAGTGTTTTTGTGCTAAGCATTTTTTTTGTGTGTTTAAAAATTCACGGTGACCAAAAAAAAAAGCAACAATCCAAATGAGTCCCAGGTTTCCAGAGCAACTTTTGATTTAGCGGTTAAAGAAACCTTGTGAAGTTTCCACCCACACTTATTGTATACTTAAGATGTCATACTAAGTGGTCCATTAAAAAAGTGGCTTGATCTTACTTTATACAATAAACCGCTCTTACAACTGTGTGGAGATGTCTTAGAGATTCATTTAGTGAGAGCCGGTTACAGTAATATTATTCATTACTGCATTTACAATTATGAATCATCGCTTAAAGATAAAATAAACATTATTAGAATATCCCCAACGTTTTATGCCTTACCCGTTGTCGTCCATTTGGATCCCTTTAGCGTCTTATGCCAAAGTCTTGTGACTGAGGTGAAGTGGTCGGGATGACCAAAAATGGGCTGCACTGTGTTGGAGGACTTAGCTATACTGGCCGCGCGGGTGAGAATGCCGTACCTCCATGTCAGAGCAAATGCCGGAAGGAAAAGATAACTGCCATTGAACTGATTCAGAATGGACACAAATTGGGACCGGTCTTCTTCTGTCTTCAGCGAATTTAATCTGAAAATGGTGCAAGGTAAAGGTGACAGACGTTTTGAGCATAGTTTAAAAATAAATGTGAATTTTTTTTATCAAAAAGTTAACATCAAGCGTTGAAACTGGTTGGGACAGCAGATGAAAGTACTCAGAAGATTTTTTTAAAGTAGATTTAGCGAAGAAAAACGACAGGAATAAAGTTAAAGAAATGGAGTAAGAGAGATGCGTTTTAAACTAAAAGTCAAAGTCTAATTGCAATATGGTTTGTATCATTAAACATTTTACAAGCTGGAAAAGTTGAAAATTTGTTGAAATCCCACCGTCCATGGTGCTTCATAATGCCACCTTTATTTTGCAATCTTCATGAAATACAGAAATATCAACAGTCATTTTTAGGAAACAATAATATCTTGATTGCTATTATGACTTTGAGAAATATCTGCTGTGATCGACAAGTACGCCAGGCCACTTAAATTGTTTTGATTCATTATAAAAGACTCGGCTGACTTCTTGTACAGGCCAAAATTAGTGAGAACAAACGAAATAAATGTTCCTGTCGATATCAAATTCCTATGATCAATTAAAAAAGAGGGAAGAACGAATACTTACTTCGTTACAAGAAAGGATGGATTTAAGGTTGTGAAGTTTGTTTTGCCTCCAACATCTGTCTCAAATCCTTTGACATCAGCTACGTTGAATCTGAAACGTGAGTGGTTTGTAGCAATTTTGTGGTATGAAATACAGAATAGCAAATAAAATGTATTGATTAAAACAATTCGACGGGTGACTTGCTTTTGAAAACAGCTGACACGTACATGTTGAAGTAACATTAAAAAAAAAATTCAGATGAAGTAGTTGTTGCTACGAAAGCTTATGCAAATTTCATTCTAGTCAGTCGATTAAAGTGCTATACCTTACTCTTCCAAAAAGATTACATTGATATAATTTGTTCTCAATTGGTTACGATTTCAGCAAAATGCCTTTGTCCCAGCAAACACATGTGTTCTCATGCATCCATGAAGAACCTTGTTTTTAATGGAATTTTACTTTTAATATTCAACAATTTATTTATTCGCACTGGCGGTTAAAATGGATAATATAATGTACCAGTGGAATAAAAGGCGCATGGTATCATTGGCTGCATCCATAATTGATTTTATCGAAATACTTGCCCATTTCTGTACGATCACAATATGCATCCTTGTGTTCAAAAGCCTGCATTTTTGTCTTGCCAGATTTAGGGTTATCGGGCTTTTGGTCTGTATGCGACGAATTTACATATGCATTAGCAAAACCGTGACGTCATTCAAAGCAAATAAAATGCTTTAGTGTTTATACAGCTGCTTCAGGGTTTTGCCGCAGTCAACTTTCTGGGTTGTTTTGGTGTTCTATTGTTTATTCAGTGCAAAAAAAAAAAGTCAGTTATTTAGCAGACAGCCCATCTTTGGGTTCATAATAATGATGTACATGTACGTAAATGTGTGCCTGATCACAGCAACAGCGCCCTCACTTGTCAGGAACAGCGTGTGACATTGAAAATAGATGGTATTTAAAAAAAAAAAAATAACGGTATCTTATTATACTCTTTTACAGATCGAAGGATTCGCACACACAAAAAATACTTTGCAATGCAATGAAAGGGGAGTCACTGTAGCGCCCGAAACTGCCCTGCCTATTTACTCACTGTTGCGCCCGAAACCGTCTGAGCATTCTATGGTTGTATTGATTTTTCATTGAATAAATTCAATGTAATACAATGAAGTCAATGTGCTAACTAAACTCATTTTTCTCTCATCTGTTTACACTCGTAGAAACTACAGGAGCTTACCTGAAGACGAAGTCGGCTTTGTCTATATTGTGACCACAGTGAGAGCCTTTGAGTATACCACTTGAACCCACCACGCTGCAGCTGTGGTTTATTCTTGGGTAATAAACCGTGTCCTGTAGAGGGAATTGAGATAATTAAATGAGTAAAATTAACGGTATATATTTCAGGGTTGTCAACAAAAGTTCACCAAATCAATATACTCGTCACGTACACTGAAGTGACATGTACACATTGTTGGACTATGCTCCACTGGGGACGCCCTGCAGAGGCTGTACTATTTTATAAGTAACAACAACAGATGCGTTCCCCTGTGCTATTTTCGAGTTGCAACTCGAAAGTAGAGTGTTTTTTTTTTCAATTGGTATTTTCCAAGAAATACAAAATTTATTCACTTTTGAATGAGACATCGAACGAAAAAAATCAATAATTGTCTGGCTGCCAGTCATATCAATAATTCGGCTCTTACAGGGTGGGCTCATTTGTGCGCAACTAATGAAATTCACCTTTTCAGAGGGTTGCAGACGCCTCAAATCGGAATCAAGTATTTTTTCATTAAAACAAAATGAAACGTACAAATTGAAAATTTATTTGAAGAAAAAAAAATCCATTTTTGTAAGAGCAGGGGATATATCTTTAAAGTGGACTGCTGCAACAGCTGCAATGCCGGACAACAGTCGACAGTGGACAATTGACATTGTTCGACTGTCTGTATGTCGCTGGTCATACACTTTATCCAAGATTCGGCCATGTTAAATTGAAAGCGAGGTGAAGTCTTAATTTTTTTTAACTTGTGAGTAGAAATGAAACTAATGAAATGAAAGTTAACTGCAAATTACAACCAGTCTGCTCTGATGACTTATTTATAAAATTAATGATTAAAATACCCTAGTGTTCTAAAAACTAAAACTAAAAGTGCACTCTAAAAACTGTTTAGCAATTAAACACAATCTTGCTATCCCTTTGTAAACATGTGTAGAAGCTAAACATTACGTGTCCAATTCCTAAACATCAATGTTCAATTGCTAAACAATATCCATCATTATACTTTACATGTTTAGTTTAAACATGTTTACAAAGTGATAGCAAGAAAGTGTTTAGAAAAGTGTTTAATTGCTAAACATAGTTTTTACAGTGTGAGGCTTGGAACGCTCTCCAATAATAAAACAGTCTGACACCAACCCATTCACGTCCCGTCCATCCCAGTTTACAATTTGGCGATCGTACCACGATCTGACCTATCTGAATTGTTGACGAATTTTGGTTTTTAGCATATTCTGGTTATGCATGATGAAATCTTTATTTTCTGAAAATTTCAAATTCATAAGTGGCCTAATTAGCTAATTAAGCTGATTCAGCTAATTAAAAATGTTGACCTATCGCTACAAAACGCAAAATTATCATTTCACGAACTGACGCATCGAGATAGGTCACTTCGTGAAACGCGTAAACAACGCTGTCAGGTTTCCACGAATACCTGGACTTAATTATCACTTTCTTATGAAAATGAGTTACTATATAGGGGCCAGTCTTTAGCGTTATCAGAAACAATGGCGGCGTACACATGTCGTTTGATGGCTGAACGAAACTAGCAAGTTTCAACCGAGTTTCTGATTCCGTAAACGTCTGTACTAAGTATATTCCTCCGGTATTGCAATATGTTCGTGTTGGGCTTTGTCTGAATACATGTTTTGCAGAGACTCGTTTGTATGATAGCACAGCGCTAATTAGCCTATTGGCGTACTGTATAGTGTAGACGGTAGTGGGTAGTCATAATCAGTCAGAATAACACTTGAGTGGGGTTCGATTCCGAACTAATGCTTTTTAATGACATCTCGGTTGATATTTACGCTGATTCACTGACTGTCCTTTCGGGAAAATATTTATCAAATAAAAGGGCCAAACTAAGGTTGCTTTTTTAATATTATGATTCGTGATTGGTTTGGTTTTTTTGTGTTACAGAATGTGGATGTCTCAGTGGTTAATTGCAGCCAAAAGTTTATACAGAGCACCATTCGTCTATATAATTGCATGAAGTTTTGAAAATGCTTCGTTACAAGGAAGGTGATCGATTCCTGGAGCATGAATGCAAGCAATTGTTTGAACATAAAGGTTATTATTTAACCTTTCATACTTTTGCTGCTTAATATTTTGGTTTTAGACTGCCCGGCTCAGATCAAAAAGAGCATTGCGTCTGTTCTTCGTTTTTACGTTTTGTGCTCCGTTTCTCTCTTTTTAAATGTTGATTTAGTACTCCAGTCTTGCTACAATTCTAAAGTCAGTGCAGATAACAAAAAGAATATAAATGGGGTGAACTGCAAAAAAGTTAAATTCAGTTGCTATGACTTGTTTTAGTTAGTATTGCAAAACATGTGAAAATCCAAAAAAGACACAGACTGCAAGGATAGTGACACCAGACATGAAACACATTCTGAATGATTTATCAATGATTTCCTAGTTAATAACAAACTGTAAATGTTTTATATTAATTTTCCATGTCGACTATATTAAAAGAAAAAAATCCAGATAAATGTTCATGTAGATTCAAAATTTAAATTTAATTAAAAAGTATTGATTACTGAAAGTATGAACCACCTGCCACAGTATGCCTCGGAATGTAACGGGAAAATGCTCAGCCTTAAAACAAAGGGCGACTACTGATTGCCGATAACATGTTGAGTGAATGTATTTCTATTCTTTTTTGTGTGCATTTCTCAAGATTTTCGATGTGTTGTGCTTGTAACTCCACAATCTTTGAATCAGGAGCTGTTCCTTAGACGTCACTGTTATCACCTTTGATCTACATCCTTCACTAATGCCAGACTTATCTTGAAATATTAAGAGATACCTCTTTTATTGTCAGTTCTCGCACTGTTTCATTTATGCACCTATAGTTTGAAGTAAAACTAAAAACTAAAAACAGTAATTAAGAACAAATAAAGGAAATTCGTCCAATCAGCCTTCTGTCTCATCTATATAAGCTCTTCACAAAAATAATCCAGAACAGAATCAAAGATGCGCTCGACGACAACCAACCAAGAGAACAAGCTGGTTTCAGAGCTGGCTTCTCAACAACAGACCACCTACATGCAATCAATCAACTGATTGAAATGGCTTGTGAATACCAACTCCAACTGTGCCTAGGATTTGTCGACTACCAGAAGGCATTCGACTCTGTCGAACATTCTGCCATGTTCGAGGCCTTGAGAAAGGTGAATGTTGATGAAGGATATGTCCGAATTCTAGAAGACATTTATACTGATGCAACTGCCTGTATTTATATTGACAACGATGTATCCAGGACTGTCAACATCCAGAGAGGCGTAAGGCAGGGCGACACCCTTTCTCCAAAGATATTTACTACAACTATAGAGGAAGTGTTTAGAAAAACAGACTTGGATAATGGTGTTAATATTGACGGAGAACCTCTCACAGACCTGCGATTCGCTGATGATGTGGCAATGATTTCAACAACTGTTAAAGGTATGGATGAGCAGCTATCCAGCTTAAACAAAGAGAGCAAGCTAATTGGCTTAACCATGCATAAAGACAAAACAAAGTACATGACAAACTTTGAGACCCAGGAAGACATTGAAATAGAGGGACGGAAACTAGAGAAGGTGAACAACTATAAGTACCTTGGACAGACACTGAAAATGGAGGACACCACGAGAGAAGAGGTGATGCTGAGAATCAAAGCTGGCTGGATGAAATTTGGTCAACACAAAGACATGCTAACAGACAACAAATTACCAATATCACTAAGGAAGAGACTATTCAATCAGTGTGTGCTATCCACTATGACTTATGGATCAGAAACTTGGTCATTAACTAAAGAACTTGAACAGAAACTCACAACAGCACAGAGAGCTATGGAAAGACAGATGCTTCACTTATCCCTACGAGATAGAGTAAAACATGAAGTAATTCGGCAGAAAACTGGGGTGAAAGATGTCATAGAGAAAGTCAGCGAAGCAAAATGGAGATGGGCAGGGCATGTAGCAAGAATTCAGGATAATAGATGGACATGCAGATTAACAGATTGGCAACCACGAATGGGAAAGCGAAGGAGAGGAAGACCAAAGAAAAGATAGAGAGATGATATAACTACATATATGGGAACAGCGACTTGGACTAGGACAGCCAGAAACAGAAGTGATTGGAAATGTCATGAGGAGGGCTTCATTCGACAGCGGATGGACGTAGCCTGATAGATAGATAGATAGATAGATAGAAAGGAAATTCATTGCTAAGAACGTTTCAAGTAAAGCCCTTATTTTTAAATTTGAAAGATTGCTGAGAACAACTCTTTTCACTGCCTCTCTGTTGAACTCTTTACATCAGACCTGCATCATGTTTTCCTTTTGATTATGGTCAGTTCCAGTTCAAATATCAAGGCAGTACTTGTCTTTCTACATAATTAATTTGTTTCTTAGATTTACTTTTCTATCCCTTGAGTGGCCCTTAAATATGGCCTGTTATGATAGTCGACTCTCAAAAAACAAAATCTTCATTGTATTAACGCGACTAAACATCCTATTTCTATTAAGTTTTGACGTTTTGAGCATTGTTAATTGAAATGCAGCCGATTTTTTTTTTTAATGTAGACTATGTCATGGAGATATATCATTATTTTTTTAAGGGGGAGGCTTACAAAGTATCTGCAGAAAATTGCTGTTTTTAGGGAATAATAGGTTTAAATAATGAGAAAGTACACTTTGAAGAATAACAAATAGAAAACAAAGATTTGAAGATTATGAGAGTGTACATGTACGCTTATCGTTCTGTTTCAGTGTAACTTGAACTTGTGAGTCTTGTTTAAACAAAATACCTGTTTTGTCCACGGATTTTATTTCTCGATTGTTTTACAGATAAGAATAGAAAAAGAAAAAAAATAATGTAATAAAAGTACACCTTTACAATGAATTCGTTCAAGAATTATTACTAGGAGGTATACACAATGTATTCAACTAGTTTCTGTGCACCCCGTATATATTGGAATTCATTTTCTAATTTCCTTCACTATAACACTATAGCGTTTTAATTTGTAAGAGCTTATTAATCTCTAAAAACAATAATATTAATATAAAAAACAACAGATTGCAGCGAACCTCCATATGACTTAACGTGAAGAGGTCCGCACGCGCGCATGCGCATATGACATAGGTCACTATCAGCCACAGAGAAATCGAAATTGTTCGTTTCACGAAGTGACCTATCTGGATAGGTCGCCGTTTGCGCGCATGAAAAATGAATATTAAATTTTCACGAAGTGACCTATCTAGATAGGTAGCCGTTCGCGAGCATGAAATATGAACATGAAATGTTCACGAAGTGACTTATGGATTTGACGTCTATTTTTCACCTGGTAATGATGAGTTTTTGCCTTTAAATAGAAAACAATTAAAAATCATAATTCAACTATCCAACTTTATTATATATAAAAACTGAGTCAATAAAAATTAGTGTTCTGGGTGAAAGAGTGGATGCAAAATAGGCCCAACTTCAAACGCGTTTTTCTCGAAATGGCAAAAACTGAAATAGGTCAGATCGTGGTACGATCGACGAATTTATAAAATAGATTTAGGGAACACGATCGAAAATAGCTTCCTCGGGAATAAGGTCTAATCAATTCGGTTTTTTTGAGTTACTGTTATGGATAGCAAAAAGTCCCCCGATGAAATAAGGGCAAGAATTTCCTCGGGTCATAACTTGGATCAAAATTTATGACAAGGAAAAATATCACGTGAGTGGATTTAAATATCATGTGATTTGTAATAACGTTTCCCCAGAACTTAATTGTCTTTTCTAAATTGTGTACAATCCAGTCATACTGCATGCTCTGGAAGTCCGAGAACCATTCCGTTACCAACTTACGCATGCGCATTATGGTCATGGACTAGTATACTTGATTGCGGAAAAAATAATTGCCGGATGCTATCGATGCGCAGAGTTACCATTAACTTACGTTGGGTAACAATTGCCAGATCTGCCTGGATAACGTGGTGGATCCGTTCTGCCTGTAGAAGTGTATAGTCTCTCCTGGCTGTATATGATGTTTGGTGACGATGAAGTTGTCCAGTTTCCCCTCCTCTCCCAAGGCAGCCCGTAAGTCATCTCTGCAAAGGAATAAGACTGGGACATTGCTATCACGACCTTATCAAGAGATTTCGGGTAAAATGGGTTTTACTTTAATACTTATTTCATGGCCATTATTATTATTATTACTACTATTATTATTATTAGCAACCAAAGCATCTAAAATGGTTGGATTAAAAACATTTTGAAAGATATTTAAATTACATTAATAAAGCTCGAGGGTCAAGGCCAACCACGAAGAAATATCTATATATATAAGAGAGAAGTTTACTCGCCCCCGAGACGATGTTTGCTCCTGAAAGGATCCGAGACCGCGGGCTCACGCGGCCCAAAATCGCTCCACGTCCGTGGAAAAATGCGGAGGGTGTCTTCCGCCGGGTCGGACGCTTCGGGTCGTCCTAATTTTCCCGTACGGACTGGCGATCCGTTTCGTCGATTTTTCGTGACTGCGTTTTGCACAGGAATTTGCCGTCGTGTGCGCTTTCACGTTGACTGCCTGGCCGCCCCCCGTGCTGGCTTTTCTGCGAGTCTAGACTGTGCGAGGTCAGCGAGGTCAACGTAGGGGTTTCGTTTACGTGTTCTACTCGGCCCTTCTGCAAAAGCGTTCACCAAACGTTAGTATGTGGTGACCTTGGTAAAATATTTTTTGTCCATGGTGCGTGGCCACCAAGTGTCCCTATTCTTTCATATGCTTCGCTTGCCGCCCCTGCGCCGAGTGCAACGAATACTCAGAAGGACTACACATTAGTATGCCTAGCGCGGTCTGACCAATCGAAAGTCTACACTGCTTGGTACTTCCCGGCTATGCGTAAAACCGTCACTGGCAACGCGTACTGCAGCCTGCTCCACACTCTGGAAACGAGGTTGAGTCTACGGTGCTCGCTATTTGAAGCACAAGCATGTGACGTCGCGTGATAGAGTGCTGTTGCTTCCATAATGTGTTTACAGCTCCATGCTTCCACTAGCTCTATGCTTCCATCAAGGCTGAGCGTTGTGAGTTCGCTACACGTCACAGTCAGTGTCGCGTTATAATTTCGGGGGCCTGTTTGGGATCAACAAAGGGTCGATGCATTGCTTCAAATATTGTGATCTTGAACGCAGTCACAAAAAAATCGACAAAACGGATCGCCGGTCCGTACGGAAAAATGAGGACGACCTGAAGTGCTTGATTTGGCGGAAGAAATTCTCCGTATTTTCTATGGACGTGGAGCCATTTTGGCGTCGCGGGAGACCGCGGTCTCGGAACCTTTCAGGAGCGAACATCGTCTCGGAGGCCACGTAAAACTTGCTCTTATATAGATGATTGACCAACTTGAATAAAAGTTGAATCGACTTTTTCCTCGCAGACGGTCTCGCAAATTGTAAGAAGTTCAAGTTTACGTTTGTTGAAGAGTCCAATACTGAAACTTAATTATGACCTTCCTCCATCATTCACACCGTTTGTAAGGCGGGCGTGCTAAATACCCCCTTTTCATTTACCGTGGGACGGTATTGTTATTGAGGAAGTGTGGGACCCTTCAAGCCAAAGCGGGAGACGGTCCACGCATGAACGCACACGGTACAGCCGTGCATGGTGACGGTTTGCAGTGGGGCTTGTATGTTTAGGGCAGACAAAAGATCAGAGGATTAGCAATGTACCAGGTCTTTGCGGTCGGTGAGTAGAAGCCGCCAATGATGCGTATGAAACCGCAGGATTCATTGTTATAAAAATGGTTATTTGTAGCGGGAGCCGGGAGTGCCAACCGTGGGACGGTTTGTAGAAACAGGTCACCCGCTTTCTTTTCAAGCGGGAGCCGATAAAAGAGGGGCTCAATTGAAAGCGGCTCCCGGTAAGTGAACAGGGGGTATTTAGCCTGTCCGCCTAAGTTGATGGTAACACTCAACATTTCCATTGCAAATGACAACTTCACGTTTGATTACATTATGATTTAGTGTCAACACTGTACAATCAGCCTTCGCCTGTGTACTACGGTAACCTTTTCACTACGTTCTCCCGGCAATGCCACTGCCTCACAAAATGCCAATTTAACAGACCAACGGGAACATTTACAGACAGTTATCAGGGTACATAATTATCATGTGCGTAAATCGGTGGGGAACAGGGGGACCCCCCCCCCCACATTTTAAAGCGGGCACATTGTTTGGTCCCCCCCCCCCACACACTTTTTCTTCCCCGAATAAAAATTGTAGCCTACTATAATGATTCTATTGCTCAGAATACCGTGTAGCTGATTCAATTACCCCAAGCTCGAAAATGATGGTTAAAAGATGATCTTTTGCTCAAATTGGTTTCAGTGGTCAGAAATTGCCTCAGATCACACCACACAAAATTGTTCTTCTATAACTGCATGTCTCCTCAATGATCCCCCATTTACATTTAACTGCCCACATTTTCATCCCCAACACTACGCCCTATATACCCGATCTATGATCGGGTAAATCAGCTTGTTTATTATATATTAGGCCGAATAAAAAATGTTTAGCGTCCCCGCCCGCTTCCTTTTTGGAGGCTGCCTTTTTTTTTTTCTTCTTTTTTTAAACCGAAAAATGATAAATTTTAAACAATGACATCATTTTGGCTTCTTTGTCTGTTGCATCTAGCGCATATAAAGCCGGTATGTCATTTCCTGAGTCCAAGTGGCGGCCATTTAAAAAAAAAAGCTGGTGGCCATCTTGAAAAAATAGCCCGGCCGGTCGTTTTGTAAAAAAAAAAAAGGGCCTCCTCCTTCTTTTTTTTCAAAGGCAGGACGCTAAAAAAAAATTATTTGGCCTTATCAACACAGAAACAAAACGAGCGAAATTTGTTATCAATTCACACTACTATGACTCATACAATAGTAACGCTTTTGCAACAGACACATCAGTCATACAAATCAATTCACAGGGAGTTTCTGTCATCCAAACAATTCTAGTTGATAGCCTTACCTGAAGGCTTGATTGACTGTTCTATTCTCCTTCCATTTCCGCTTCATGATTCTGTCGACTTCGACGAAGAAGTCTTTGGTGTTTTGGGAGTAATTATTCGCGTACTTCTGTGCAAAGACACTGGACAGAGAATGTTGTGTTAGTAAATACAGACAGAGTAATAATCAATATCCTATTTCCTAACTCTTTGCTTCTTTCTTGACCAGGAGGGCCATATCCTACTGTCCCGGTTATACCTATCTCACTTACTGACTCACCGAGTCACTGACTGACTGACTAATGCGCCTATCAATTATTTCCCCCACCCCTCCCTTCCCGGGCTGCCCCACCCAAGACGTAGGGATTGTCACTTTTGAAGTGACAAAATCCCCACCCCTCGGGCAAAATTTAAGTGACAATCCCCGACCATGCCCCGACTTACATGTACGTGGGGCGCACTAGTGATTGCCTTTCCATTAGTACGCCAATGTTAACAATGTAATTTGAGTGACCAAAATCCCCACCCTGGGGCATGAAAAACGTGACCAAATCCCGACATCGGACCTGGGGTAGCGGGGGGGGGGGGGGGAGGAGGGGAGGGGGACACTTGATAGGCGCATATCTGACTGTCACTTCAAGCCGTGTAGGATGGCACTAACTCTAGCCCATCGTGTAGATAAAGCAAATGCAAGAAAAGACCTCCAACGAGTATCATTTCTGATTCAATGATATCGAATTCTAATCTCTCTGGGACCAGCTTTACTATGCTTGCCTTGTCTTATTATACAAATAGCCATTTGACTTGCAACAGAAAACCCCCTCAACGTCGATGATGTTGGAAGTAAAAAATCTATCACTCTATCCAATTTAAACACTATCCAATTTAACAATTGCGAATTTTTCCTATTCACCATGCAAAAGGATTACCAATGGGTTATGGGAAGTTAAACTGCCAGCTGCGGGGTAACTATTTAGGGTTAAGCTTCGAGGGGGTGCAATTTTTTTTTCCAATTTAACAATTATTGCGAATTATTCCTATTACCACCATGCAACAGGATTACCAATGGGTTGTGGGAAGTTAAACAGCCAGCTGCGGGGTATCTCTCTAGGGTTAAGCTTCGAGGGGGGTGAATTTTTTTTTTCAAGGGGGGCACTGAAGGCAAATGTTTTATTCTTTTTGTTCAGTTCAAGATTTCAAATGGGGGGTAGGGGACCACCCAGGGAACTCGGACATCAGCTGGGAGGGGGGGGGGGCGGCGTTGGGGGAAGTTCCCCCTCCCCCATAGTTACGCCACTGACGGCCAGCAAAAAACCCTTGTCGACTATTGTACAAATAATGAATGTTTTTGAGTGCAATGGTGAGAATATTTACATGACTTGAAAGAGGTCAGGTTCGCCTCGTTGAATAGAACCTTCCCCTTCCGTCTTTCAACGAAAGAAAACATTCTCACCATATCACGAACGCAAAACATTCATTATTTGTTTGATAAAACATCCAAGTAGATCTTTGTCATCCGATTGGAGGATCTATATATATAAGAGAGAGATTTACTCGGCCTCCGAGACGATGTTTGCTCCTGAAAGGATCCGAGACCGCGGGCTCCCACGGCGCCAAAATCGCATCACGTCCGTGGAAAAATGCGGAGGGTGTCTTCCGCCGGGTCGGACACTTCGGGTCGTCCTAATTTTCCGGTACGGACCGGCGATCCGTTTCGTCGATTTTTCGTGACTGCGTTTTGCACAGGAATTTGCCGTCGTGTGCGCTTTCACGTTGACTGCCTGGCCGCCCCCTGTGCTGGCTTTTCTGCGAGTCTAGACTGTGCGAGGTCAGCGAGGTCAACGTAGGGGTTTCATTTACGTGTTCTACTCGGCCGTTCTGCAAAAGCGTTCACCAAACGGTAGTATGGGGTGACCTTGGCAAAATATTTTTCTCCATGGTGCGTGGCCACCAAGTGTCCCTATTGTTTCCTGTGCTTTGCTTGCCGCCCCTGCGCCGAGTACAACGAATACTCAGAAGGACTACACATTTAGTATGCCTTGCGCGGTCTGACCAATCGAAAGTCTACACTGCGTAGTACTTCCGGGCTATGCGTAAAACCGTCGATGGCAACGCGTACTGCAGCCTGCTCCACACCCTGGAAACGAGGTTGGGTCTACGGTGCTCGCTTTTGCACAAGCATGTGATGTCGCGTGATAGAGTGATGTTGCTTCCATAATGTGTTTACAGCTCAGTCCATGCTTCCACTAGCTCTATGCTTCCACCAAGGCTGAGCGTTGTGAGTTCGCTGCCCGCCACGTCACGGTATAATTTAGTGTCGCGTTATAATTTCGGGGGCCTGTTTGGGATCAACGAAAGATCGATGCATTGCTTCAAATATCGCGATCTTCAACGCAGTCACAAAAAATCGACAAAACGGATCGCCGGTCCGTACGGAAAATTAGGACGACCTGAAGTGCTTGATTTGGCGGAAGAAGTTCTCCGTATTTTTCTATGGACGTGGAGCCATTTTGGCGTCGCGGTCGCGATCTTGAACGCAGTCACACAAAAAATCGACAAAACGGATCGCCGGTCCGTACGGAAAATTAGGACGACCTGAAGTGTTTGATTTGGCGGAAGAAATTCTCCGTATTTTTCTATGGACGTGGAGCCATTTTGGCGTCGCGGGAGACCGGTCTCGGATCCTTTCAGGAGCGAACATTTCTCGGAGGCCGAGTAAAACTTGCTCTTATATAGATGGTTGACCAACTTGAATAAAAGTTGAATCGACTTTTTCCTCGCAGACGGTCTCGCACATTGTAAGAAGTTCAAGTTTACGTTTGTTGAAGAGTCCAATACTGAAACTTAATTATGACCTTCCTCCATCATTCAGACCGTTTGTAATTGTATGGTAACACTCAACATTTTCATTGTAAATGACAACTTCACGTTTGATTGCATTATGATTTATTGTCAAAACTGTACAATCAGCCTTCGCCTGTGTACTACGGTAACCTTTTCACTACGTTTTCCCGGCAATGCAACCGCCTCACAAAATGCCAATTTAACAGACCAACGGGAACATTTACAGACAGTTGTCATGGTACATAATTATCATCCCCGATAAGCCTACTATTGCTCAGAATACCGTGTAGCTGATTCAATTACCCCAAGCTAGAAAATGATGTTTAAAAGATGATATTTTGCTCAAATTGGTTTTAGTGGTCAGAAATTGCCTCAGATCACACCACAGAAATTGCTTTTATATAACTCCATGTCTCCCCAACTATATCCCCCATTTACATTTCACTCCCCACATTTTCATCCCCAACACTACGCCCTGCCCGATCTATGATCGGGTAAATCAGCTTGTAAAACTATAAGAGTAAACAGCATTTACAAAATGGTTGTGTGACCTACAATCCCCCAATCAAATGAAAAGGATATACTTGGGTGTTATATAAACGCATACAATATCGGATACTCGTACCCACACACGCACACCCCACACACACGGCACCCACGCTTACAAGTGGGGTACTTCCTTTGTTCTCGTGTACTAAAATTTTGCAATGTCGCACACTAATTTCAAAATGCTCTTATTTTAACCTGAATTAATTTTCTGGGCTCATGTTTACGTTACATACGTAGTGTGGACATTCCTTTGTTTTCGCGTAGTTGAGAAAAACCTGTGAAAAAAACCCCTCATTTTACCCACACTGTGAAACTCTTTCAACCCATTTTTTTCTATGATTCCCTCAAGTGTTTCTCTTCATTTTGCCACAGATAAACCTAACCCATTTTCCAGAGAGGGGGAAACACTGTGTGGACGTGGGCAAGTCCACACAACGTCGCTGCTACCTGGTTCATGTCAATAGGGAAACATCCCACCAGGCAGATTTGCCAAAATCCCACTGCCTTTTGGCTATTGACGTTTTTCCAGCTATTTTGTCGTATGTATAAAACCTAGCATTTGCTTTAACTACCTACTTTTAAATAATTACTTGCATTTGTATGAATAAAAAAATGAAGCAAATGCTTTTACTGGAAAGCATTTGCTTAAAGCTAGGTACCTACTTTTTACTTGTTAGCTTTTGCTAGACCAGAAGTGTTTACTTCATTTCGTATGAATAAAAAAGAGTTCTTCAGAATTCAACTATTTACTGGTCATTTTTCAAGGCTGGGTTGGGGCAACCTTGAAAATATATAGAGCAAGTACTTCCGCGCAAAAACTGCTGTATTTGTTAATATTATTCGCCCAAAAATTAACACAAAACGTTAATAAACAACTTTTAATACCATACACTGTATTTTGAATAACATTTATGCGAAATTTAAATATTTGTTTATTATAATTTCATTACAGACGAAACGATAATTTCGCAATTTGTTCACGATATGAGAAGTGTTAGCGTAAAATTCAGGGCGGCATAGAATGATTACGGATACCTTTTTATCAACGGCACCCTGGGGACTGAACAAAATGAAATATTTTTTAATCTATTAGGGGCCATTCAGAATTTTCAATGTTTTAAAATTTCGATCTTTTTTCCAAATTGTGGGTGAGTGGGTCAAGCTAAATAATTGAAAATCGAAATTCATTTCCATGGAAAAAGATTAAAAAAACAAAGAAAGATAGATCTTTTGACTTGCCTGAACTACGCGCAAGCGTTCCGATATCGCGATGCGTGTTTCTTTTCCAACTTCGTCCCCTGTATGTACTGTCAGTGGCGTAGCCAGGAATTTGTCAGTGTTGGGGGGGGGGGGGGGGCGCTGGGGGGGGGGGGGGGGGCGCTGGGGGGGGGGGGGGGCTGGAACATTTCATGGGGGGGGGGGCGTCATGTAGATCAATGATAATTTTTTTAGAAACTCAAAATCTCAGTGGGGGAGGCGACTGGGGGGGGGGGGGGGCGCTGGGGGGGAGGGCTGGAACATTTCATGGGGGGGGGCGTCATGTAGATCAATGATAATTTTTTTAGAAACTCAAAATCTCAGTGGGGGAGGGGACTGGGGGGGGCGACAAGGTTTCATGGGGGGGGGGCTGTCGCCCCCACGCCCCACCCCCCCCCCCCCCCCCGTGGCTACGCCACTGCAGGTCATACAGTTAAAGTTTATGTAAAGTTGTATGAAAAGTCAAAGAAAAGTAACTCCCATGATCTATTTG